CGACTGAGCCGCCCAGGCGCCCCCAAGAAAAACTCTATTAATCTGACTAAAAATGGACTAAGAACTTCAATAGACATTTTTTAAAGAAGATACACACTTAGCCAGCAGGAATATGAAAAGGTATACAGTGTCACAGATAATCAGGGAAATGCAAATCAAAACCACAGTGAACTATAACTTCCTATTTGTTAGAATGGCTATTATCAAAAAAAATCCAAAAAACAAAAATAGGTGTTGGCAAGGATGTAGGATTGGAACCTTTGTGCCCTGTTGATGGGAATGCAAAATGGTATAGCCACTGTGCAAAACTGTGTGGAAGTTCCTCAAAAAAAATAGAACTACCATATGATCCAGCAATCAAACTTCTGGGTATTTATCTAAAAGAATTGAAACTGGATTTTTTTTTTAAATTTTTTCTTTTATGTAGTGTTCCATGATTCGTTGTTTGCGTATAACACCCAGCGCTCCATGCAATACGTGCACTCTTTAATACCCATCACTGGGCTAACCCATCCGCCCAACACCCTCCCCTCTAAGTTTGTTTCTCAGAGTCCATAGTCTCTCGTGGTTCGTCTCCCCCTCCGATTTCCCCCCCTTCACTTTTCCCTTCCTACTTTTTTTTTTTTTTAAACATATCTTATTTGTTTCAGAGGTACAGGTCTGTGATTCAACAGTCTTACACAATTCACAGCACTCACCATAGCACATACCCTCCCCAATGTCCTATCACCCAGCCACCCCATCCTTCCCACCCCCCACCACTCCAGCAACCCTCAGTTTGTTTCCTGAGATTAAGAATTCCTCATATTAGGTCATATGATACATGTCTTTCTCTGATTGACTTATTTCATTTAGCATAATACCCTCTAGTTCCATCCACGTCGTTGCAAATGGCAAGATTTCGTTTTTGTTTTTTTTTTTGTTGGCTGCATAGTATTCTATTTGTGTGTGTGTGTGTGTGTGTGTGTGTATATATATATATATACACACTGTATCTTCTTTATCCATTCATCTGTTGATGGACATCTTGGCTCCTTCCATAGTTTGGCTATTGTGGACATTGCTGCTATAAACACTGGGGTGCACATACCCCTTCGGATCACTGCATTTGTATCTTTGGGGTAAATACCCAGTAGTGCAATTGCTGGATCGTAGGGTAGCTCTATTTTCAACTTTTTGAGGAACCTCCATACTGTTTTCCAGAGTGGCTGCACCTGCTTGCATTCCCACCAACAGTGTAGGAGGGTTCCCCCTTCTCCACATCCCCACGAACATCTGTCGTTTCCTGACTTGTTAATTTTAGCCATTCTGACTGGTGTGAGGTGGTATCTCATTGAGGTTTTGATTTGCATTTCCCTGATCCCGAGCGATATTGAGCACTTTTTCATGTGTCTGTTGGCCATTTGGATGTCTTCTTTGGAAAAATGTCTGTTCATGTCTTCTGCCCATTTCTTGATTGGATTCTTTGTTCTTTGGGTGTTGAGTTTGATGAGTTCTTTATAGATTTTGGATACTAGCCGTTTATCTGATATGTTATTTGCAAATATCTTTTCCCATTCTGTTGGTTATCTTTTGGTTTTGTTGACTGTTTCCTTTGCTGTGTAGAAGCTTTTTATCTTGATGAAGTCCCAATAGTTGCTTCCCTTGCCTTTGGCGATGTTTCTAGGAAGAAGTTGCTGCGGCTGAGGTCGAAGAAGTTGCTGCCTGTGTTCTCCTCTAGGATTTTGATGGATTCCTGTTTCACATTTAGGTCTTTGATCCATTTTGAGTCTATTTTTGTGTGTGGTGTAAGGAAATGGTCCAGTTTCATTCTTCTGCATGTGGCCATCCAATTTTCCCAACACCATTTTGAAACAGGATCTTGAAGAGGTATCTGCACTTTAATGTTCTTTGTAGTACTATTCACAATAGCCAAGATTGGAAACAAGTCAAGTGTCCTTTGACCGATAAATGGAGGAAAATGTGGTATATATACATAGAATGGAATATTCAATCTTGAAAAAGAAGGATCCTGCAGTGTGTGACAACATGCATGAACCTTGAGGATGTTGTGCTAAGTAAGCTAACCAGTTATATAGATGGACAAACACTGCATGATTCTACTTATGGGATTCTAAAATAGTCAGACTCGGGGCACCTGGGTGGCTCAGTCGTTAAGTGTCTGCCTTCGGCTCAGGTCATGATCCCAGGGTGCTGGGATCGAGCCCCTCATCGGACTCCCTGCTCAGCGGGAAGCCTGCTTCTCCCTCTCCCACTCCCCCTGCTTGTGTTTCCTCTCTCGCTGTGTCTCTGTCAAATAAATAAATCTTTAAAAAAAAAAAAAAAAAGTCAAACTCATGGAAGCAAAGCATAGGTTGGTGGTTGCCAGGGGCTGGGCGGAGGGGGAAATGGGAAGTTGCTAATCAATGGGTCTAAATTTTCAGTTGTGCTAGATGAGTAAGTTCTAGAGAGCTACTGCACAACATTGTGTGGATAGTTAACAGTCCTGTATTGTATGCTTAAATATCTGTTAAGAAGATAGACCCCCGATTACCTGTTCTTACCACAATACAATAAAGAAGATAAAAGGAAAAAAGGAGTGAGACTATGAAGATAACCCAGCAGATCTGAGAAAGAACCAAATAGAACTAGAAATGAAAGTAGTGGAATTGATACTTAAAATGCAGTGGTTAGAGGTGCCTGCGTAGCTCAGTCGGTTAAGCATTTGCCTTGGGTTCAGGTCATGAACCCAGGGTCCTGGGATGGAGCCCCACTTCGGGTTCCCTGCTCAACGGGGAGTCTGCTTCTCCCTCTCCTTCTGTCCCCACCTTCCCTTACCTCCCCACCCCCCCGCTTCTGCTCTCTCTCACACTCTATCTCAAATAAACTTAAAAAAAAAAATGCAGTGGTTAATTTGAACAGCTAGACACTAACATGCAAACCAGAATATTGATCTCAAGTCAGAATGAAGTACAGAGTGACAAAAGGGAAATATGAGGGAAATGTAAGGGAAATATAAAGATGTTAAACATGTGTTGACAGATTCAGTCAGATTCTAGGAGATGATAGAATGGGGAGAGGCAGTATTGCGGGAAGTAATAGTTAAGAATTTCCACAATTGATGAAAAAAAAGATGCTAATTCATAGATTCAGGGAGCCTAACATATCCTGAGCTAGATTAATAAGGAATTTGTGAAACCACGTAGAACACCAAGGGCAAAGAGGATCTTAAAAGTTGACAGAACTAATAGAATTACCTACAAAGGAATGTTAGTTAAATCAACAGAAGCCTTCTCAAAAGCCAGAAGATAAAAAAAATCTTCAAAGTGCTCAGAGGAAACGATTGTCATCCTAAAATTGTGTACTCAGCTAAGTCATCTTTTAAGACCAAGGGCTTAGTAAGGATTTTCAGACCAAAAAAAAAAAGCAAACAAAAAGGGGGGAATTTGCCATTAACAGATCCTCACTAAAGGAACTTACAAAGGATATACTTAGGAAGAAGCAAAATTATTTCAGAAAGCAGCTCTGAGATGCACTTAAGGAACCGGAGCCTGGAGACAGTTAACACGGGTATATCTGCACAAATGTGGACTAAATGAAGCGGTAGTCATTCCTAAGAATGTTTACGGGGTGGGCGCCTGGGTGGCTCAGTTGGTTAAGCGACTGCCTTCGGCTCAGGTCATGATCCTGGAGTCCCTGGATTGAGTTCCGCATCGGGCTCCCTGCTCGGCGGGGAGTCTGCTTCTCCCTCTGGCCCTCCCCCCTCTCATGTGCTCTCTCTCATTCTCTCTCTCTCAAATAAATAAATAAATAAAATCTTTAAAAAAAAAAAAAGAATGTTTACGGGGTTAAAAACCTCCAAGAAGGAGGTAAAGGAAGTGTGAAATTGCTCGGGGTTGAGAAACGTGGCCTTAGACAACTGCTTATTAATGCTTTGTGTGTCCATTTTGTCTGATAACTATCATTTATCGAGCAACTCTGTTCCAGGCACTCTTCTGAGCGCTTTTCCATGCTTTGTCCTCACAGGAGTCTGACAAAGTAGGCATTCTCATTATCCTCACTTGACAGGTGAGGAATCTGACAGAGGGATTTTGTCACCAGACCAGGGTACCGCTGCTCGTAAGTAGCGGAGCCCAAATTTGAACCTGTGCCCATCTGAATCTGAGGCAGTACTCTTCCACTACATCATGCTGTTTTCCTCTTGATTAGTATACATGATCTTAGCATGGAAAAGCTACATTTCCTCCTAGGCAGAGAGCTTCTCTTCTGCTTAAAGAGTAAGAATATTTGGGTTTGTTTTGCACACAAAATTGCTAACCTGTCCAGGCAGCTCTGGTTTGACTTTAGATCTTCAGTGTTCTCTGCGATGCAGGCATGTGTTTTTCCTTTGATTTGAAATGTCTGTCCTTAAGATTGGCTATGCTGATGGTCTTTGCCTTTCTCCTAGGGCTGTGTGCAAGAAGTTTGGGCTGCATGTGAGTCGAATGATGCTAGCCTTCTTGGTTCTTAGCACTGGCATGTTTTGCTCCTCATCAGGTAAGTAAAAGGGCAGGTGAGGGCATAACAGGTGCACTGAACTTTCATAGTTGCATTGAAAGGGAGAACTTGTGTAGGCATAGGTTATGTTTGGATAGCATATCAGTAATTAGCAGAGCACTGTTACCTACATGATCTTCATAAACCCTTACAGCAATTTTGTGTTAGGGGTAAGAAACATTTTCTCATTTTTGCAGATGAGGATACGGAAATTGAGAAAAGTGAAATGACTTACTGGGAGTCAACTCATAAATGGCAGAGCTTTCTATTCCATGTTGCTTTCTATTACATTATTGTATATATATATATTTTTATTACCATAAGGCTGAAAAACCCCAGCACCCTCTGCCTTTCCTTGCTGTTAGGGGAAGAGAAATAATTTCGTTATCTTGCTCTTGTTTGTGTCTAAAAACCTGTGTTCATGGTTCTGCTTTCTGCCCATTATTTGCAATGTATTCTGTAAAGGTATGTATCCTCTGTTGGGCTTTTTTTTTTTTTTTTTTTAAACAGTACACTTAAAGAGAATTAGACTATAACCTTAGAGTGGTGGCTTGCAAGTTGGGCTGCCATTGAATAATTCTATTCTCTGAGCCATGGTGGCCTGCTGCCAAAAGGTAGCCTGTTTCCACTTTTCTGGAAAAATTAAACTACTAGATAAAATAATCTCAATTCTAATTTCTGTTTGTGTGTACCAGAATCTAGTATACACACGAAATATACATAAAAATAGTGTTCAGCACAAAGGTGTATATTGAACTTCGTTGACTGTGTCAAAATCTATGTGGTTGTGCAGAGACCTTATGAGAGTCATTGTCCTCAGTGAGAGTGTGCTCTCCCCCCCAGGCCGGCAAAGACCTCCGATTCCTCTGCTCCTTTGTCCTCTGCATTGGCAGCTGGAACTGACAACTTCAAATAGCATCAATATTATTTAGCATTTATCTGTGAAGCTTGTACCTCATGTTTGGTTACTTTGCTACTCCTAAAGTTGATTCTTAGGAGAGGGAGATACTCAGGAGTACCCTTAGCTTTGTCATCTCAGCTGAGAATGAGAAGGCACAGAGAAGTTCAAGGGATCCTTTGATACACAGCCTGTAAACCCTTTACTGAGTTTGGGAGATCATATGGCCTATTTGTGGTCCTTGCTTCATGCTGATGTTTCTTCCCTAGTGCTAGGTGAAGCAGGCCTATACAGTCTGGAGAGGCAGATCTGCATTTTTGTGTAAAATTGTTAGAAACGCTGATCAAATGTTACTGTTGCAGAGACCGCAGAGACCCTGAAAGTACTCAGCTCCTCTGCTGTTTACTACAACAAAGTAGTGCTAAATGGAAGTAACTAGGGGACGGCTACAGGCCAAACTATCTATGTCCGTCGATGCAGGATGCAAAGCAGGGTTGCCATCCAATATGTGGCCCTTGAGAAGGCTTCCCAGAATTCCTAGGGGGTAATGGTTAGTGACAGGACAGTCTCAGAAGCCTATCAGAAGATAAACTGCTTCAGAAATAGTCAGCAATGGTTCTAAGTTTCTTGCAGCATATTCCCTGCCTGGAAATATAACCTGGAATTCTCTAAGTTTTGGATTTGGGGTACCGACCAGGAGAGGAATGGCGTGCTTGGCATTGTATAACTAGGCGTGTGTTGGTACCTTAAAAAAACAAGACTGAGAAAATAAGAAAAATTATTGAACTTCATTTTTTTTTTTTTTTTTAAGGAGTATCACTTTACTGCACAATTCTAATATATTCCTCAAAATATGTTCCTGGTTATTGACATCGTGCAATGTGGGTAAATTTTTAATAACACCTAATAAACCTCAAACTCTTGTCCCTCCCCCCTCCCTCTGTGTTCCCCATTTCTTTACTCTTCCAGCATTCCTTCCTAGCAGCTTCTGTATGTATACCACGTTGGTAGCCATGACTGGCTGGTATATGGACAAGACTTCCGTTGCTGTGCTTGGAGTAGCCGCTGGGGCTATCTTAGGCTGGCCATTCAGTGCCGCTCTTGGGTAAGGGACTAACACAGTTCATCTTCCTTGTATCCCTGGGCACATAGTAAATCTCCTTGTTCTCTGGTTATGACCTAAAGTTACAGGAATGAATTGGACTTATAGAGATTATGGGAAATGGAAGAATATTTCTCTTGGTGCATATTGTTGATTGATTCTAATAAGAATAGTAACTATTAAGTCTCTGTTGTATGTTAGCTGCTGCTAAACCCCTTAGAAACTTTATTCCTAAAGCCTTACAACAGCTTTGGAGGAGAAATACAATCATTAGTGCTTTATTTTTTAATTTTTTATTTTTTAAATATTTTATTTGAGAGAGAGCATGCGCATGAGTTGGGGGAGGAGCAGAGGAAGAGGGCCAAGCAGACTCTGCACTGGGCTTGATCCCGGGACCTTGGATCACTACCTGAGCCAAAATCGGGGGTCAGTCGCTTAACCGACTGAGCCATCTGGGTGCCCCAGTCATTAGTGCTTTATAAATGAGAAAATAGGGTCCAAAGGGTAATTTGCTTTTAAGATTATGTTTGCTGGGGTACCTGGGTGGCTCAGTTGGTTAAGCACTGACACTTGATTTTGACTCAGGTCGTGATTTCAGGGTTGTGAGATCAAGCCCCGCTTTGGATTCTGTGCTCAGCGTAGACTCTGCTTGAGATACTCTCTCCCTTGTCCCTCTCCCTGCTCTCTCTCTCTCTCTAAATAAATAAAGTCTTAAAAAAAAAAAATTGTTTGCTTTTGGACCCAGGCTGCCTTGAGCCTGCCGCTGATGTGTTTTCCACACCGCACCACTCTGTGCTGTGCATTTCCCACTCACCAGGCCTGAAACCGGACTTTCCCTGCAGTCTTCAGTTCTTGCCTCAGCAGCTTTTTTCCTCAAGGCTCATAGTATTTCTCACTTCTCATGTATTCCTTGTTCCCACCACCTCTGCTCTAGTCTGTGCTGCCTTCACTTCTTACCTGCACTGCTAGTAATTTAGAAAAATACCGCACTTTGATGTTAAGGTTATTATAGTACAGTTGACCCTAACAAGGTCAGGGGCGCTGACCCCTTGCACTGTTGAAAACCTGAATGTCACTTTTGACTCCCCAGAAACTTTACAATAGCCTATTGTTGACAGAAGCCTTACCGATAACTTAATTAACGTGTATTTTGTATGTTGCATGTATTATATATTCTTATAATAAAGTAAGCTAGAGAGAAGAAAATGTTACTATGAAAATAAAGAAGAGAAATATATTTACAGTACTGTACTATGTTTATTAAAAAACCCCATATATATGTGGACCCACACAGTTTAAACCCATGTTCAAAAGTCAACTGTAGTAGTATATTTTTATTATTAAAAAAGTTCCAGTTTGTCTGAGGTAAAAAGAATTCTTAATTCTCTTTTCCCCTAGTCTAATCTTCAAAGGTGGTCACTAATACTTTTGTACATATCTTTCCAGAAATTGTCCTTACGTGTGTAAATACACACATGTGCATACATACCATAAATTCTTAGAATAATCCTGTAACTATATATATCTTCTAGGTATGTAGACTTAGATCGTTCTTTGTGTGGATTACATAGCATTCTATTATCTGACCATAATTTAGCCATTGCCTTATTGGTAGATACGTAGTTTTCAGTTTTTTGCTATGATGTACAGTGATTCAGTGAGCATTTTTGTACATATGTCTATACATTCATGGAAATTTGTGGGGTAAATTTTTAGAAGGAGAGTTAAAGGTATTCTAGAGGATAGGTATTCTAAATTTTCTTAATTGTGTTTTAAAGGCTGTTTTCTCCACCTCCAGTCTTCTATTTTGCATATCATCAAAATATTAAAGATTTTGTGTGAGGCCGTCTTCTGTCTTTTCTCCTATCTTTCAACCATCTTGATGATTCTCATATCTTAAATCTGGTCCAGTTGTCTCATATATTCCTGGTTGCCTATTAGATATCTCCTTTTCTATAGCTAAACATTTACAAAACCGAGGTCATTATCTTCTCTCCATATCTGTTCTTTTACCTATGTTTCTAACTCAATAAATGGTACCACCATCTACTCAGTGCTGAACCAGGAACCTCAAAATTTCTGTGACTCTTTTCTCTTTCCTATGTCCTATTTATTGTACCTCCTGAATATCTTGAATCTGACTACTCTTCTTCACCTCTGCTTCTGGGTTACCATATAGCCTCCTAAATGATCTTCCCATCTCTAGGCTTGATCTCTGTAAATCTGCTCTCCACAATCAAACTATAGAGTTACCGTCCTAAAATGCAAATATGATTATATCACTCCCTGTTTTGTTTTAAACTCTATAATAGCTTCCCCATTTCTCTGTCACAGAGGCTGGTAACCTGTGACCTGTGGGCCCAGTCTAGCTGGTCATCTCTTGTATAGCCCAAGAACTAAGAAGTTGTCACATTATAAAGGGTTGTTAACAACACACACTCACTACTGACAGACACACACAGAATATGCAACAGAGACCATATATGGCCTGTAAAGCCTAAAATACATACTGTTAGGTCCTTTAAATAAAAAGCTTGCCACCCCCTGCTCTGTGGTGTCCAGATTCTAACATGACCCACAAAGTCCTGATCTTCCCTCCTTTTTACCTCTCCAACCGTTTTTGTCAGTTCCTCTGTTCCTTTTACTCTGCACCATTGACATTGAACTTTGTGAGTTCTTCAAATACTTCTGGGTGGCACGTTTTGATTGGTCTGCCTTTAGCCGAGATAAGGGATTTCAGGATTGCTGTCAGTTCGCAGTTTACCGTCATTTATTGAATATTTTGTCTTAGGTGCTGCTGATACTTTGTTAAAGAAGAAAGTTAGGGTTCTTGCTCTTCTGGAGCTTACATTTTAGTAGGAAAAACAGACATTGAACAAGTAACTAAAAGTATGATTACTTACCAAAGGAGAAGTAGAGATGCCATGGAAATATAACTAGTTGGGCAGAAAAAAATGAAAACACAAATGTTAATGCAAAATTTAGATAATAGAATGTGGAAGTTCATATCACAGAAGAAATACCTTGTGATAGCACATGGCATTGCTAAATAAACGACAGAGATGGTAATGCCATGTGAATTCAGAGGCAGGAGAAATTGGTTCTGCAGAGGTGGTTCTGCAGAGGAGTCGAGAGCAGAGCCTGTAGTGGACATTTGGGTAAGTTCTGTAGAAACAGACTGGTGTGGGGAGGGAATTCCTTGTGACTGGAGCATGGCTAAGGATTCTGACTAGTGTTCTAGATTTGGAGGCCATGGATATGGAGGTGATTGTTCATGCAAGAGAGGGAGTACCTACTGAGAAAATGAGTGTAGAGAAAGAAGGGTAGAAGTTTGCTTCTGGGACCTAGGACCATGGTAGGGCACAAAAAAGACATCTAGAAAGGAGCACTTGGGAAGAGGCCAGGAAAGAACAGGAGCGAGCAAGCCTAAAGAGGAAGGAAGAGATGCTTGTGTCAAGTGCTGCAGAAAGACCAAAGGAGGTGAAGCTCGTGAAGAGTTACTGGGTCTGGCCGAGAGGAGGTTCCTGTTGACCTTACATCCGTCTCATGAACTTGAAGCCAGGCCTTCAGGACAAAGTAGTGAAGGCAACATACATACACCACTTGCTTGAAGAATTTAAGTGAAAGGGAGAAGAGCAAATGGTGCTGGAAGGAAATATATCAGAACTGACATATCAAAGTTTATAATTTTATTAAAATCTTTATAAATCATGGAAGAGATGAGTATTTATTTGGCCGGGTGGGTGTAGGGCCACAGGGCACATTCACTTAAAATTCATATATTTTGAATGTCTGTTACACATAAATATGTATAAAATGGAGCTCTTTCCATAAGTTCAGTATTAATATTTCTTGTGTATTATGGGGTGCAAAGTACTCTCTTGGGCTCTATGAAGAGAACACTATATTGTTGAGAAGACATCCTCTCCTATATCAGCTTTCTTTCCTCGCTATTAACTGCTAGAGACGTTTTTTCCCCCTGTTCAGCATGAGGTATGTGTGAATCTGACTTGTTTGAGTCTATATTCTAAGTGTTTAATTCCCTGTTTTGTTTCTCTGTTAAATAGTTTACCCATTGCCTTTGATTTGCTGGTCGTGAAACACCGGTGGAAGAGTTTCTTTCATTGGTTTCTGGTGGCCCTAATACTCTTTCTGGTGAGTTTTATTTTTTCTTTGTTTTGTTTTAAAGTTGTAATGAAAGCATGTTGATGTAGGAAAGAGAATATGAGGAATTCATTCTGTTTTTCATTTTGAAGTTTATTCTGTTAGCATTGGGAGAATGTTTCCAGAACAAAACCCTGCAACTGGTATCTATTTTCTGCTCTGTCTTAGGTGCCTGTGGTGGTCATTGACAGCTACTACTATGGGAAGCTGGTTGTTGCACCACTGAACATCGTCTTGTACAATGTCTTTACTCCTCATGGACCTGATCTTTATGGTAAGGCCTTAGGGAGTCTGGGGAAGAGTAGGAGATAGCTTCATTTGCCGGAGCTTTGAAATTTCAGCTCAGTTGCTTCATTTCCTCAAATACAGCATTTCTTTGCTGGTAATCTTAATTAAAAGTAAATGACATTTGCATATAGCACAGTGATGGTAAGTAGCCAGTAAATATTTCTTCTTGATTAATGTGATTCCTTCCTTTCAAGATTTATTTGAGAGAGAGAGCGCACAGATGAGTGTGGGGAGGGGCAGAAGGAGAGGGAGAGAAAAACCTCAGCAGACTTCTCGCTGAGCGCAGAGCCCAATGCGGGGCTTGATCTCAAGACCCTGAGATCATGACCTGAGCTGAAACTGAGAGTTGGACGCTTAACCGACTGAGCCACCCAGGCACCCTTTGATTAATGTGATTTCTGTTAGTCTTGCTGTCATTCTCAGCATGCCATGGCTCTTGATGCTACTTTTTTAAATTAAAAGTTACTTTTTTCTGTTCTCATTAGAAAACCAATATGACAACAGAAATAGGAAAATAGAAACACTCACAATTCTATTATCTCCAGATGGCTGTTGTTAAGGGCTTGGAGTATATTCTTCCAGAGGTTTTCTGGACATGGACACATTTGGTATTACTTGTTCTTTTTAAAATTTGCATTCGGTATCAGGCATTAGGAGAGAAAGTTTGGAAAATGTGTAGACAAAGCAGAGCAAATGGTAGAGTCAGCATGAGAGGGGGGTAGTTTGGCCAGTTTAGGGTTGAGAGGAAAAAAGTGGGATGCCTTTAGTCTGGGGAAGGCATTCTCCTCCTCCCTCCGCCCCCCCAACGCCTTATCCTCAGCTAGCCCTGAACCTGTTTTATTTGGCCCCCTGGGGCATTTGAGTTAGTGACAGTTATAGAGGGATGACCTAGAGATCTTCCTGGTCAGATCTGCCATTTTATGAGACTTTTTTCATTAAAATAAATGCAGTTTCTTTTGCATTAATTTTCTGAAGGTCTTGAAGCATTTTGTGTTTGTGATCATCTTGGGGCTCTACTGTGAAGCAGGTTGATAAGACGTCTATGTCTTATCAGTTTAAGCCATGCCCATCATTTTCTTTGCTACTTTGCCAACAGAACCAACAGATTGGATGAGGAGATTTAAAGTAAGCATATGAGTGAGATTTAACTGGGCCTGTTGGGATTTGTGGAATATTGTCATTTTAGAGGGCAGTAGGTAATAGGTCAAAATCATGTTTTGTTCAGTTGACTTGAATTCACAAACTGCCTTGTTTAGAGAATAATTGCTAAGTGAAGGAATTTTAATTCTTTTTAAAGTTTAAGTAATCTCTATACTCCACATGGGGGTCCACCTCACAACCCCAACATCAGGAGTCACACACTCTGACTGAGTCAGCCAGGAGCTCCCTAAGTGAAGGAATTTTAAAAGATGTTATATACAACTAATGAATCATTGAACATTACATCAAAAACTAATGATGTACTATATTTTGGTTAACTGAACTTAATAAAAAAGAAATAAAAGACCCCTTTAGGACTGACTCCAAGATCCCCAAGGATGTGAGAAAAAGCTGCAATTTTAAGCTTTTGCCTCTAGATGTCTCCCTTTAGCTAGAGAGAGTTTGTAGGTTTTTAATTGCCCGTTGTTTTAGTTGCCTTGTAAAATTTTTTTTGGTTCAATAGCAGGAAGACTCCCCTCTTAGACCCAGATTGCACATTAGAAATTGATTTACTGAAATCTATTGGAAACATAATATCCATTATATATGGGTGAATAAATTACGTTAATTTCAATTTAATTTTGGGAAACTGGCATTACCTTTTAAACAGGTTATTACATAATGACGTTTTGATTGCTTATTTATAAAACTTTGATACTATATGAAAGCAGTTGCTGAGATAGATGAGACTTATAAATCTAGTAATTTACAGGTTCGCCAGGAGAGTAGAAAAGAAAGAATAAATTCTTGTTTATGTTTCTGGTTTAACAGCAGCTGGGTGGGGGATCTTTGTTTTGGGATTCAGCAGAGAAGTGGCCAGTCTTTCCTTGGATGTTGGCATCTGCCATTCATTTTGGCCAGTGCTTGCCTGGGAGGAGTGCCCGGAGCTCTGTTCTGCCTGCTTTGATGAACCTGGGGTGACTTCAGTGCAGATTTTGCTATTTTGAATGTACAGGAACTGATCACTTTCCTAGTGATGGAAAAAGCTCTGTTGGAACAGAATGCATTGTCTTACTGGGCGTCAACAGGACTGATGCAGTGCTATAGTCAGTCAGACTTGAGGGGGTTGTTCCTTGATGGTAGAATTTTTGTGCTTTTAGATCATCTTTGAATTTGACAATTTTGGGGTGGGGTTGATTTCCATTCTTTTAAAGAGTAATTAACTCCTTCTGCAGAGAAGATACTTCTTCCATCTTAGAAGTAAGTGTTCTTTGTGTATTCTAGGTCCTCTAATAAAGATTTGTCATGATGAATAGATGGGTGAACAAATTTGGGAGTACCCATCAGATTATATTATGCCTTGATCACTCTTCTGTCCTGCAGCTATTTTGGTTAGACCTGTTGTGGTGTGTTAGATTGGGATTTTTTGGATACCAAATAAAAATAATAGAGGTAAAAGTACTTTTTAAAAAAATTTTATTTTATTTTTTAATTAACATATAATGTACTACTTGTTTCAGAGGTACAGGTCTGTGATTCATCAGTTGTACATAATTCACAGCGCTCACCATAGCACATGGTAGAAGTACTTTTTAAAGCAGAGTATTTTATGATTGTCAGCTAACTTATAATGGGTGAGTCCATTCAGTAAATACCAAAGACTGACTTTTTTTTTTTTTTTTTTT